ATTGGATTAAATAATTAAATATACATCCTGAAACAATAAAACACCTTAAAGAAAACAGGGGAAAAACTCCAGGAAGTAGGAATGGTATGGACTTCATGAATACAACCCCAAAAGCACAGGCAACCAAAGGAAAAATAAACAAATGGGATCACATCAAATTAAAAAGCTTCTACACAGCAAAAGAAACAATTAACAGAGCAAAAAGACAACCAACAGAGTAAGAGAAAATATTTGCAAAATATACATCAAAGGATTAATGTCCAAAATATACAAGGAACTCAAACTTAACAGTAAAAAAACAAGTAACCCAATTAAAAAATGGGCAAAGGAGCTGAATAGGCATTTCTCAAAGGAAGATATATGAGTGGCCAACAGACACATGAGAAAATGCTCAACATCACTCAGTATTAGGGAAATGCAAATCAAAATCACTTTGAGATACCATCTCACCCCAGTTAGGATGTCTAATATCCAAAAGACTGTGAGTGATAAATGTTGGCGAGGGTGCGGATAAAAAGGAATCCTCCTTCACTGCTGGTGGGACTGCAAAATAGTGCTGCCTTTATGGAAAATGGTATGGAGGTTCCTCAAACAATTACAGATAGATTACCATATGACCCAGGTCTTCCACTGCTGCATATAAACCCAGAGGAATGGAAATCATCATGTCATAGGGATACTTGTACTCCCATGTTCATTGCAGCACTGTTTACAATAGCCAAGAGTTGGAACCAGCCGAAATGTCCATCATCAGATGAGTGCATAAGGAAGATGTGGTTTGTCTACACAATGGAATACTACTCAGCTATAAAAAAAAAAAATGAAATACTGCTATTCACAGCAACATGGATGGACTTAGAGAAATTATATTAAATGAAATATGCCAGGCACAGAAAGGAAAAGACCACATGTTCTCACTTATTTGTGGGAGCTAAAAATAAACAAATAAATAAATAAATATACAAACAAATAAATTGGGGGGTGGGGGAAGAAGACACAGCAATCACAATTCCTTGAACTTATTAAGACAAGTGAACAAACATGATGTTGATGGCAGGGGAGGAGGGAAAGGGAGGAGAAAAAGGAAGAATTGGTAAAGGGACACGAAAACCAACCACATTGTATGTTGATATAAGTAAAATAAAAATAAATAAATAAAAAGTCTCTAAAAAGAGGGTCTTCTGGCTGGTTAGTTCAGTTGGGTAGAGCACAGCCTTGTAAAACCAAGGTCAGGGGTTTGTGATGCCCGTACCAGCCATCTGCCAAAAAAAAAAAAAAGATTGCTAAAAAGAACCTGCTCATGTATTTTTAAATTTAAATGGGGGGACTAACTTGCATTTGCCTTGAGATTCTGTTGGATTTTATTAAAAGAATAATACAAAATTTTAAATCTAAAATGTTAATATTCCCAATGTTAGAAATTACATCCTTTGCAACTTTTTAAAGTTCTGATGAAAAATTTCAGATATCAACTTGAAAATGGGAAGGGGTATATCATCTCTTAGGCTTTAGACTCTTTTTAGGGTATAAACTCTTTTAGGCATTGGAGACCACTGCCCTAGATGTGTCTGCAGAGTGTCGTCTGCTGCGGTTGGCCGTGCCTGGGCTTCATATTTTGAAGCACTGTGTGATTGTTCCATGTTACAGTCGCCCTCCCTCCACGTGTCCCATTGGCCTATACATTTCATGAACAAAAAACAGGGCCTGCAGATCACTCCACGGCTGCCTCGCCCTGCATGATTGCAGAATTCGGGAGTCCCACTGCCTCAGTACTTACAAAGTTACCCTGACAAATGCTGACTGCTGGCATGGGGTTCTGGACCACACCTGCCTCCTGGGTCCTAACACCCTTCATCCTGCTCCACAAATTCATCCTCCTCCATCTCTTACGCTCCTTTTTCACCACTATCTCCAGGTCCTCCTTCACCTTTCGCTATTCCCCATCAGCATAAGATACTCATTTCCTCATCCAAAAATATCCTTCCCTCAATGTTTTCCTACCAAACCATTGTCCCAGTTGGGATTTTCCCTTCACCATCCAATATTCTGTAGTCTCTATTCAGTCTTCCACTCAATCTTTTATTCTGATTTTAATTTCTGAAGTGTTTGTAAGTCCCTGTACATGAGCAATATATAGAAATATTCTCATTGTACTCACGTCAAATACTCTAAAATTAGAGTAAAAAGTCAAAGCATCCCTCCACCCAACAGTGCTTCCAACCTCTTCCCCATATACGACTTGGTGCAGTTCCTTCCACTTTTATCTAGTAATTTATGTGCATATGTAAGTGTATTACATACAAGGGGTCTTCAAAAAGTTTGTGGAAAGATTTGTATTATCTTTTAGCGCCATCTTTCCATGAACTTTGTCAAGTACTCTCGTACATAGTTTCACATTGCATGGCCTATCCCTTTTCCCCACAAGTTGTTCTGGAAATTTTCCCAAGTCAATACATAGATATAGACTCGCTTCATTCTTTTTGACTACTACATGGTGTTTTGTAAAAGAAAAACAAAAGTGTATCATAATTTCCTGTTAATGGGTGTGTAGATTATAATTTTCTTCCCTGTCAATGTATGTTCAGGAAAACATACATTTTCTATTTTTTCCCTGTATAAACACTGTTGTAATAATCATCCTTTTATCTCTGCTCATGTTTAAGTCCATTGGAGGAGAGTGGGGAGGCAGCAGTTAAAGCAGCTGGCCTTTGATTCTTTCTTCCCTGTCAATGTATGTTCAGGAAAACATACATTTTCTATTTTTTCCCTGTATAAACACTGTTGTAATAATCATCCTTTTATCTCTGCCCATGTTTAAGTCCATTGGAGGAGAGTGGGGAGGCAGCAGTTAAAGCAGCTGGCCTTTGATTCTGGAGAAAGAAGGCAGATAACACATCTAAATTTCTGGTAAATTTGCTAAAATTTGGACCTCCTGGTAAATATTTGCTAGAACTCTAATTTATAGAATGCTCTTAGTAGGATGTGGCTGGTTAAGGATTGTTTATAGCAAATAAGCTTAGAAATTACGGATTTTTGAGGCAAGACTCCAGAGAGAAAGTCACAAAATCTCTACCACCATATAGGATACAAAATGGCAATGTTTCCTTACGTAGACTCCCAGCGGTGTGAGATGACCTGCAAACTTCACTTGAGATCTCATCTATTACTCTGGGCCACTGAGCATGTACCCCTGTGAGAACAAAAGGCCTGGGCAGCAAGCAGCGTGCCTCGAACCTCTCCCTGCTTTGCCAGTGCTTCTTGATTGCTGTGTCCTTGAAATTATGAGTAAAGCTTGATAAGGGTAAAACCTCAGATGGGTGGCAGTCGGATTTGACAATCTGCTCCTGTGTGTCAGCAGATTCCTGGAAGTTACCAAGCTGCCATCCAAGAAGGCTGTAACAGATTCTATTCTCACCAAGAGTATGAGAGGGTTGATTTCGGTTAATGGCTATAGTTTCACCAATCTGTGGGCAAAAAACCCACTGACGTTTAAATTTGTATTTTCCTGTTATTAGTATTATTTTTACTTGTTTGTTGGCTCTTTGGATTTGTGTTTGTGTATGCGTTTCCCACTAATATTATTTGCCTTGCCTTTTTAGGTTAAATTTTCTTTTTTTAATTGGGGAAACATCATAGTGTAATGGATTCTGAAACAGAATGTCTGGGTTCAAATCCTGGTCTGCCACTTGCTAAGTGTGTGGCCTAAGTTACCTAAGTTTCAGTTTCAATGCCTATTTTACAAGGTCACATGAAGATTATGAGATAATGCATGCAAAACCACAGGAAAAACACCTGGTACACAGTAAATGCTCAAACAGTGATAGTCAGTTATAGGAGCTCTTAACATATCTTGCATATTAATTCTTTGACTATTAAATATGCTGTGAATATCCCCCCTTGTATGTTGCTTGTATTTTAACCTTATTTATAGACATTTATCAGACAGAAATTTTTTTATGCAGTTAAATCTGTCATTCTTTTCCTCTGTGGATTTTATTGATATCTGATTTCTTATCTGAAGCATTTTATTGAACTGACCGCACAAATTTTAGTTCATATTTTCTTTAATCTGCCTCATGATTTTGTAGTCAGAAACTTAAGAGTCTTCTTTGGCCTCACCAGACACCACTCCCGTTTCTCTTTCATGGAAGACAGTAATCACTAGCCACTTCTTTTTTACTTTCCCCTGAAGAATGTTGTTCTCTTCCCACGTCATACTCCCTTGACGCCTTATCTACTCTAATGGTTGCAACAATCCCCCTCGGCAGGTGACACTGAAATCTTCAGAGCGGCACTTCCCATTGTTTACAGGGTACTTCTAACTTGATGTCCCACAATCACCTTAAACTAAATTTCTTCTAAAATTGAACTTTTATTCACTGTATACATACTGAGATGGAATGACTTGTAACGAATACTGTTGCACATTTTTTAACTAACAACAAATAATATGTATGGAATGTTTATGAACAAAAGAACATAAATATTCCTATGTAACATGCATAATGTCCTCTGAAAGGACAGATAAAAACTGATAAAAATGGTTATAACGGGAGAAGACTCACTTTTTACATTAACTTCCTTGTGCTTTTGAATTTTGTAGCATGCTTCTGTGCTTTTTGAATACCTATTCAAAAATAAATCTGAGTCTATAAATAAATACAAGGGACCTTTCTCATCAGTCTCATCAAACCTATTCCCTCTTTTGGCTGGTGATGTCACTGATCCACTCAGTCTCTCCTAAAATTCATAAACCATCCTCTATCTCCTCAAAGGCATGTCCAATTAAATAGTCTGTTGAAATGTCTCAGATATGGATCCTTACCCACCTACGCATCCAACAGCAACCCTAAGAACACACAGTAAGCTGAACTGGGCTAGAGACAGAGATGAATGAGACACTGTCAGCTCAACACCCTCAAGAGGCCCCACAGCCCAGGGATGCAGAGCAGCCACCTGCACATTTAAACACTGTTTCTTAAATAACTGATTCCTTCAGATATTCGTAAGTATTTATTTAAGTGAGAGGTCACAAAATACAGTTTTATAATATACATAAGAAAAAACACATTTGAATGAATAAAAAATAGAATAACAGGAGGTGACAGAACTTAGTGTTTATAAATGAGATCATCAATAACCTTAACGATTCAGAAAGGAAATGCAAAGTGTATTTAAAAGTTGAGACCACGGCTTTACAAATATCGTATAATTAAAAAGGGCATTAGGTTTTTAAAGATAATACATGACTTAATAGTTTTTCAAATGATTTCAAAATGTGTTTCTAGACACTCTTGTACATAGACATGGAAAAAAAAAAAAGAACTTTGGCAAGCAAAGTATTAGTCCATAGCAGCTTGGTAAAAGTTTACTTTTTTTATATAAAGATTCTTTAATTTACATTTGTTTGTGTTACAGGAGCAGAAAGAACTAATATGCTAAGTATATTTCAGGAGTCTATAAGCTATATAGCAACAATAATTATTTTAATAAAGCCTGAATTCTATAAAAATGTGCACCACAATGCATATATAACTGAGTAAATGTAAACCATGTGATTATTAACTATTCTATATAAAATATTTAATTAACCCCCAAACCTCACACAATGTCTCCTATGTCTACATCTCTTTTCTGAAGGCAGCCTCAAACTTTAATAGACATGAGAAAGTTCTCGCCTCCATTATTAAAAATGTTCTTATAAAGTCCCATAGAATTTTTTTTTTCAGTATTCTAGTAATAATTCACATCATGATCAATAAATGATCACAACCTTTAGAAAAAACTACTGAGGCCAGAAAAGGGAATCCCCAAAACTGAGGTGTCTGTCTCCAACTCCTGGAAGACCTTGCTACTTCCAAACCTACAGCTGCAAGAAGACAACTCAGAATTTCTTACTTTTAAAAAACATTTTGTCATAACTGAATAATTAGATTTCTAAGAAAATGAGGCTTTTAAATTACACTTTAGCAAAATCAACTATAATAAATTTACTTCCAATCATTTATGAATGACAGAAGAGAAATCAGTTGAAGTTTTACATACAAAAGATATAAATACTGCATAATATGTAGTGAATATTGGCACAACCCTTTCGTATTTAAAAGCATGAAATGCAATCAACAAATCTAATGCTTTTAAGTGTATTTTCTTAAGATATATTTACGACATAACTCAAAAACCTCTATGTGGCATGGACATTTCCCATAGTTCAAGGCTTTCCAATAGGTTTGTAGCAAGCATCAGGTTGCCAGAGGCGAATATCAACAAGAACCTGATTGAGTTTTTGCATCCAGAGATCCCGCTCTTCTTTTGTATCTGCAGACAGCCAGTTCCTACAGGAAAAACAAACAAACAAGGTCAAGATTCTTTTCTCCCGATTCCATACCTCCATGTACTCTTGCTAGAAAAAATGAACCAATAAAATGAGTTACTCTTCATCTTTTAATGGATGCTAATCAAGAGCCACATGAAGAGGTGCTTCCCCAAGTACAATAGAGTAAAATTACCCCGTTTGGTTAGCTAAGCATAACTTACACTAATTACACTTGGTAAATGATGGCTTTTCCAACCAAAGAGGGTAACTATTTGTACAAGTAGTCTGGCCTGGGCAATCTGCTGGTTTGTGACACCCCGTGAGTGTGGGCAACTTCTTAGCTATAGCACCAAAGGCCTAAATCTGGGGCCTCCCAATATCCTCAGGCTCCCCAAGAGCTGGAAACAGCTTCATGCACCTTCACTTAGCTTTATAGATAGTACTATTTCCCACTCTCCCATTATTTCTGTCCTACTATGTTAGTAGAACATGGTATTTACAATAAACTCTCTAAAAATCCTAAGACTTTGTTTATCTTAACCTCTGCCCACATCAGGAATCTCCTCCTTGCATCCATATTTAGCTACAGGTTGAAGGAATAACTAGCTGAGGGGGCAGGCAGGGGAAGGGGAGAAGGAAATTCCCTAACTCACAGTCAGGCCTACTTTCTAGAGAACAGCCAGCTGTTAGGTTTTTCTACTGAGTTATTTCTGCATCTTTACAATTTCTCCCCACAGGTACTAGAAACGGTATAAGCATGAATAAGCAGTGAATGTGTCATGTCCCAGTAGCCAAAGGACAGAATACTACACTTACTACGTAATAATAGTAAGTGTAATATTCATTGAGCTCACTCTATCTGCTCGACACTGTGCTAAGTGTGTCTACTCATTAACCTCTACTGTCATTCTGTGGAGTTTATTTTTTGCTTTTGACACAGGAGAATTGAGAGGACCAGCAAAAGTAAGTGGCCTGCCAAGTCACTGAGTCAGGATTTAATCTTAGGTCTGTTGACTTCAAAGCTCCACTGTGAAATACTGCCTCCCCACGTGATGAAACATTTCTAGTTCAAATGTGTAATCTCTATTTTGAAGTAGGCAATATTGATCAGAAGAGAAACCTTTCGTATTGAAGAAGGGGAAGACAGCAAGTGTGGTTAGTAGAAATGAAAATGAGGTACATTAAATCTAGATGAAAGGTGTAGGTCCAAAAGGCTCTGTAGAGAAACAGATAAGGCAAAGAAGAATGCAGAACTGAGGATGTTTTAACTCTTATAATCAAAAGGGTAAAATAAGTTTTAGGCCCCCAAGCAAAGCCAAATACTCAGCCAAGGCTGAACTGAGTCTGCACTGCTCTCATATGCTTGCACAAAGGAGCACATGCTCAAGTGATAATAATGTCAGGAGAAAACCTACATGCAAATGAGGTACACAGCAATTACAGCAACATGTGATCTAGCTATTTCTGCCATAGGGGAAGGTTTAAGAAGTCTAGGAGGGTTTATGCAGCAGGTACAAAATAAGATTATTTAATGTTTAAAGGGCTAAAGCAGGCTATTGTGGTCAGGAACTATTTGGGTCCTATGCTTTGCTTGGCTCCTGCATGTGGCCACGGAAAGGGTAGCTATCAAACAAAATGACTGTAACTTTATTTGCCTCTCCTGTCCTGTGTGATACCACTGTTACACGGAAGGTCCCTGAAGAAAAAGAATGGGTGAGTTCAAATGAATTAATCGGGAAGTAACCTAGACATAAAGAATTTCCAAAGAATGGGTCTTCTATCAGCTATTTTCAAACAAATTGGCAGTCTCCGGGAAATGTTCAATTTTAGTATAGTATCTCTTGGCTATAGCTTTCTAATATTTTCACATTAGAAACTCATGGAGCTAGTTCTATTCATCTTCCTGTCTGCAGTATCCAGCAACAGCCTGATTAATAAAGATTTTGTCAACTTCTAACTTTTGTCCCTAATCACAACTTTGTACATTGAAGTTGGTCTTCAAGTTTGTCTTTGGCATCCAAGCAAAAGAACTTAGTTTAGACTCTTAGCAATAAGCTTTTGCATCTTATACTTAAGCTCGGGGATAACAAAGAAAGTGACACTCACAGGAGATTAGTGTTAACCTCCAAAGATTTGAAGAATAGTATGAGACTGTACGTGAGGCATCTGATAAAATGAGGGTATTTTTGGAAAGAAAGGAATGTGTAAAGTTTCTTTGAATAATGCTTCACTTTTCAACTACACATGAAATCCTTAAACCTAACCCAAAGATTATTGCCTACCTGCCTATACTGTGAGGATATTAGAAAACATGATTAGGTAAGATAATACCTAAATATTATACTTTTCCTAACTATATTAATTCAGGTGAAATCCTTAAACCTAACCCAAAGATTATTGCCTACCTGCCTATACTGTGAGGATATTGGAAAACATGATTAGGTAAGATAATACCTAAATATTATACTTTTCCTAACTATATTAATTCAGATTGTTCTGTTACTGCTGTGTGTGTTTTGTTTTCTCACTAAGGCTTTATCCTTTTCAAAATCAAGAACCGTCTCTGATATTTCTTACAGTGGTAAGAACATAGTGGGTAATCAATTACTTAGTTGACAGAAATACTTATAGGCCAATACGTACCTGGTGACACAGAGTGTGTCCCTGCATTGGCTGACAAGAGTTTCTCGGTCATCTTCTCTTTGTGGTCGGACAGTAATTAATTCAAAAGTGTTGCGTCTTGCACAAAATTCTCTGTTGGCTGGTTCTATCTGACGACTGGTACAATTGGCCAGATTTATCCTTCCTATGGGGTTCTTTAAAAACACAAATTTTTAAAAATTAATAAAAAATAAACAAGACTAAGTCATTAAATATTAAGCAGTGTTTTAAGTTGGCACAAACTAAAATTAAAGACTTTTTAAAAAAATTGTTTATTTTTTAATCTTATTTTTTAATTGACACATAATAATTGTGTACATTTATGGGGTACAGAGTAAAATTTCAATAAATGTATACACTGTGATGATAACATCAGACTAATGAGTGTAGCCATCACCACAAACATTTATCGTTTCTTTGTGATGAGAACATTTGAAGTTTTCTCTTCCAGCCATTTGAAAACATACAATAAATTATTGTTAATTATAAACACTTAGCACTACTATCAAATACCAGATCTCATTCTTCCTATGTAAATGTAATTCTGTATTAATTAACCAACCTCTTCCTATCCCCCCCCTCCTCTCTACTCTTTCCAGCCTCTCGTAACTAAAATTCTACTCTCTATTTCTCTGAGCTTTTTATTAGCTCCACATATGAGTAAGAGCATGCGGTATTTATCTTTTCGAGCCTGACTTATTTCACTTAACATAACGTCTTCCAGGCTCATCCATGTTGCCAAAAATGGCAGGATTTCATTCTTATTTTTATGGCTGAGTAGTATTCCATTGTGTATATATACCACATTTTCTTATCCATTCACGCTGATAAACAGTTAGATTGATTCCATATCTTGGCTATTGTAAATAGTGCTGCAATAAACATCAGGGTGCAGATATCACTTTGTTATACTGATTTCCTTCCCTTTGCTGGATCATATGGTAGTTCTATTTGTAGTTTTTTGAGAAGACTTCATATTGTTTTCCATAATGGCTGTACTAATTTACATTCCCACCAACAGTGTATGAGTCCCTTTTTCTCCACATCCCCACCAGCATTTGTTGTTTTTTGTCTTTTTAATAATAGTCATTCTCTGGAGAAAAAGCCATAAATTTAAAAGTTAGAATTTAGTTATACTGAGCAAGAAAAATATTCAATATCTATTATTATTTCTTGTTGGACATAAAAGTAGAAACCAAAAATATCAACCGATAGTTCTTTCCAATTATCGGTTTGTTAAACTTAAAACAGGGCCGGCCTGTGGCTCACTCGGGAGAGTGTGGTGCTGATAACACCAAGGCCACGGGTTCGGATCCCATATAGGGATGGCCAGTTGCTCACTGGGTAAGCGTGGTGCTGACAACACCAAGTCAAGGGTTAAGATCCCCTTACCGGTCATCTTTAAAAAAAAAAAAACTTAAAACAAACAAACTCTTTATGGGAAACTTCAAATGGAAAATAAAAGGAACAGTATAATAAACCCCCATGTACCTCAATCAGCTTCAGCAATTAGAAACACGTATTCAACTACCTTTTACCTATACTTCACCTACTTCTCCCCTTTCTATAAAAGAAAACCTAGACATTTTATTTTATGCATCTCTAAAAGATAAGGCTAAACAATTGATTTAGATTGTTGAAAGCCATGTTATTCCTATGACATGAGAGCCAAAGTAGAGATAAAAATTCATGAGCCCAAATGGTCCTGAAAATGGGAAAAGGAACAGAGATGGAAACAATTTATAAATACTCAACAAAAGTGTCAATCCTATTAGTAATTAAAAAAATAAACTAAAATGAAATATACCACTTAAAAAACCTTAGATTGGCTAAGTCTAAAAAGAATAGTAACAACTTCTGTTGATTGGTGGGGGGGGGTGAGTAATAGAAATTCTTACACAGTGCTGGCGAAAGTACAAAATGGTCTATTACTGACAGGCATTTTGAGAACAACAATCAAAGAGCATTAAAAATGAGCACACTCTGAACCTACAATGCCACCTAAAAGAAATTTATATTAAGCGAATACATAAATAAGTACACAAAATTTTTATAGATGGTAGTTACTGCTTTTTCATAACAGTGAAAAATTCAAAACAAATTAAATGACAATAATATGAGACTATTTAAATAAACCATGATACTATGTTTCCAGCAAATATTCCAAACTAAATAGTCTGATAGTACCCCAATTACATAACCCCCCAAAATGCTAGATAGCTGAACTCATAAGAAAGTAAAAGAAACCTTAAAGGCTAAAATCAATTAGGAAGAGAGAATACAGAAGAATAAGCTAGCCTGAAATCCTGGCTTCCCTCGGGGCATTTGCCAACACTACGAACCTACAGCCTGGGCGCACACTGGTGAAATGATATGTTATAAAGTCTGGTGTTTGCTTTAAAATGCCCCAGCAAAGCAACAAGAACAAAAAAGTATGTGTGTTGTGGAGAGATAAGTAAAACATGAAAATAAATACTGAAGGTAGGAGTTCACTATACTATTTCTCTTTGTTTAGTGTACATTTGAACATTTTCAATTATAAAGAGCAAAATATATACTTGTCTGTATATATATTACCATATGTGTGCGTGCGTGTGTGTGTGTGTATGAAAAAAACAAGGGCCAAGAATAGTAATACATTATTGAACAAGTTAGAAGACTTACCTTACCAGACATTAAGATTTATTTTAAAGTTATGGTAATTGAGATTGGGATAGAGAAACAGACCAAAGAAAATAGACTTGCATGTCTAAAAATAAACCTATGCACATAATGACATCTTACATAAATACATATCTTGATACATATCACAAATGGTACTGTGAATCAGTGAGGAAAGGATTGACCATTTAGTGATGCTGGCACAATTAGTTACCCAGATAGGGGAATAAAAATAATCAATTCTAGGTAAATTAAACATGAAGTATAAAACTTTATAATTTTAGAAGGTGGTTTAAATAAGAGAAATCTTTATGACTGAAGAGTAAAAATGGTTTTCTTAAATAAGACACCAAAAAAGCACAAACAAAGCAACTGACAGATCTGATTACCTTAACATTAAAAAAATTCTGTTCATGAAAAGACATTATAAAGACAGGCTAAGCCAAAGACTGTAAAATGTACCTGCAATGCATCAGAAAAGATAGTAAAAATGGATAAAATATATAGACAATTAATTCATAGGAAAGGAAACATAAATGGCTGTACACACTTTGAAAAGACGCTTACTCTACTAGTAATCAAGGAGATACAAAATAAAAACACAGTGAGATAACATTTTGCACCTGTCACACTGAAAAAAGTTTAAAAGGCTGACATCAAGTGTTGGTGGGGATATGGAAAACTGAGAGCTCTCATATACTCCTCATGGGAATGGAAAATGGTACCACTTTTGATAATCACTTGACAGGGCAGGCAGTTTAGCTCAGTTGGATAGAGTGTGGTGTTACACCACCAAAGGTAAGGGTTTGGATCCCCATACCAGCCAGCTGCCACATTAAAAAAAAAAGAGAGAGGGAATCATTTGGCAAAATCTAGTCAAGTTGAAGACGTACAAACCCTACAACCCAGCAATTCTGTTACGAGGTAAAACTCAAGAAAGAACTCTCCTCTGTGTATATAAGAAGTTAAATCACAGCAGCAATGTTGGTAATAGTAGCCATTAGAAAAAAAAATTGTCCATAAACAGGACAATGGATAAATTCATTGTGATATGTTCTCACAATGGAATACAGAGAAAAAGGGACAAACTAGAGCTATATATACTAACCTAGACTAATTTCACAAACCATGCTGACCCAAGACAAGTTGCAGAATAATACATACAGTATATTATCTGTATAATATTTTAAAGCATGCAATTGCAATGACATATATTGCTTTTATATATATATAATAAAAATCTAAAGAAATGCATAGGAATAATAATTTTAGAATATAGGTTATCTCTGGGGAGAAGAAAGAATTACAAGGGAGCTTCAAGTGGATAACACAGATTGATTAAAATTATTTTTTTAATACCTTTTTGAATGTCTTAAACATTTCACAATAAATTTTTTAAATATCAATAAGTTTAATGATTCCAGTGTAATACATATGGCAATTAAACACATTACCGATATATCTTCATTGATGTGGAAGATGTCAAGTGAAAATCAGGTTATAAAAAGTGGGCTGCTTTGTTTTAAAAAGATTCATAAATGGCTGGCCAGTTAGCTCAGTTGCTTAGAATTTGGTGTTGTAACACCAAGGTCAAGGGTTCAAATCCCTGTACCAGCCGCTGCCCAAAAGATAAAAAAAAAAAAAAGAAAAAAAAGAAGAGTCTTAAATGGATATGTAATTATTGTTATATATTATACATCTAAAAAGTTTAGAAACATACACTCATACAACCAAAATATGAACAGTACCAATAGTTATCTATCTCTATTATGGATGATTTTCCTTTTTAATTCTGCTTATTTCTATTTCCCAGTTTTTGGATAATGAATGATCTTATTTGGGCGATAACATTAAGTTCTTTAAGATACAATTAATTACACAAAATCCTACTATTAAGTTTCAGAAACAAAACCAAAACCATTATATTCCTGTGGGTAGTTTCCATTACTGTTTTATCCCAGAAATAGATAAGTCAACCACCTAAAAAGATACAAAATTGAATTTAACATATTTCTAAGTAAAAATGTCATCAAAAAAATTATAAAACATTACAGAGAAAAGAAGGAAAACTATATCCTTTAAGGTATTTTAAGAGTGGTCAAATCGATACAAAATTGAATTTAACATATTTCTAAGTAAAAATGTCATCAAAAAAATTACAAAACATTACAGAGAAAAGAAGGAAAACTATATCCTTTAAGGTATTTTAAGAGTGGTCAAATACCCAAAGGCATCTTTGTGTTTGATTTCAGAATTCATTATGGCTTTTCCACCTTTAAATCACAATTTTTTAAAAATATTGCCTCAACTAATTAGTCCTTATACCAACTCTATGACAGTAGGATGTACACTCTTCTCAATTCACTAATTTACGTGAATTTCCCAAAAGGTGGTTTGAATGAGGAATGCAATCTCTGGCCATAGAGGAAGTTACCTTGTGTGAGAGGAAATGTTTCCATGACAGACTGAAACCTCAAAATTATTAGCTTCATTAATTAGCTCAAACTAATTAGCTCACTGCAACCATATTTTCTCCTGCCCCACCTTTTTCTGCCTCCCCAGTCCATCCTCTTTCCTCCCCAAAGCATGCTTGTTTACGCAACACTGCTCACAGCCACACGGGAAAAGAAAGGAATCTCGTCATGTAAGTATCGAGCACAAAGCTAGCCCAAGTGATCACCAGCTCCCTCCTGTGTTTACGTTCACCTTCTACATCATAAAGACAATAGACAGACAAGGACAGTTTTGATGGATAAGAACAATACAACTTACTGTAACATCCCGTTATAACCCAAGAGGAATAAGAAAAGAACATCTTTTTCATTTTTACAGCTGAGGAAACTGAGGGCCAGGGAAATTAAATGGCAACACCCAATCACAAAGCAGAACTGGAACCTTCCAGCTGCCAATCCAGAATGCCCTTCTCTTGCTGCTCATCAGTCGAGGCAGAGCTAGACCAGCACCATCTTAGAACTACTTACCAGTCTCATTGGTAGTGGTCTCCCTTCTTTCACCTGACCCTGGCACAGCAAGAAGGAAACTAAACTGAGCAGCTTTCATTTCAATTACTGCCTCTGTTTTTTATAGAGGGTAGAGGTAATTAAACTGGTGATAAAATGAAATGTTTAGGCAGGTGACAGAAGTTATGTTGGGAGTCCTGAGCTCTTTCTTACTACATTTCTGTAAGTGTGGATATGATAAGAATGGGCTACAAGATCCAAGATTGAGTAAATCTGAAAGAGATCTAGCAAACTGGTTAAGAGCCCAACTCATATTTTTTTTTTTTTTAAAGATGACTGGTAAGGGGATCTTAACCCTTGACTTGGTGTTGTCAGCACCACGCTCACCCAGTGAGCTAACAGGCCATCTCTATATGATCCGAACCTGTGGCCTTGGTGTTATCAGCACTGCACTCTCCCAAGTGAGCCACGGGCCATCCCCCAACTCAAATATTAAATAGGTCAGACGTTACATGCAAATTAACCAGCTACCATAACAGAGACTAACAGTTGCTAAATGTGTCTATAGTAAAATTTCATATTTTTTCATAAAATGTACATTAAAAGAAAAGGTCAGTAGGTAAACACTGCCTTCAAGTCAGAAATTTATAAAAATGCTTTTCCAGGAATGTCTAGTGCCACCTGCTGGATTTACACGTGAAGAAATGCTAACAAGGAAGAAAATCCTTTTTTCTTATAACCTAGGAAATTTCCTTCCAATCTAGCTCTTCTTTCTGCACCCTTTAAAAGCAATTGCAAACTGATCTGCAACATCCCTGTATCATTCAAATTCTTGCTTCACAGAGAAAACTGTAGCGATTAGATGTTCTCCACTTCTTGCACCACACCACCCTCGCCTACTACATATATGGGTACTTTTCTCCTCTGATCATGGGAAAGGTATAAGTCTATATGAGACCAATCCTGTGAACTGAGGATTGGGCTTATTTCTTCCCTCTGTCATGACCTATCCCATCAACCCTAGTTCAGGTTTCCCACTGCCTCTATCTTCAACCTGTTTGGCCCTATTAGAAGCTGCTACCTGTTTGCATATGAAGCTGCTCAAGTCTCTTCCATCTTAATGAAATGTCCACAAAGTCCTTCTTTCACTCTACATACCTCTGCAGGTACCACAGTCTTCTCTTTATCCCTTCACTGCCAAACTTGGTTTCCAAGAGTGGCTCCTGCTCTCGTTCCTCACCTCCCACTTGCTCCACAACCCTCCACAGTCTAACTTCTGCTCTCACCATGGCTGGAATGACCACCTTGCAAATACATCCAACAGTCATAACAGACCCTTATCTAATGTGAATACTCCCTCCTTCAGACTCTCTCTTCCCTTGGCAACCATGATGCTGAATCTCCCTCCCTGCTGTCTCCTCTGAGGACTTCCCTCGGTCTGTCCTTTCAATGTTAGTATTCCTCATGGATCTACTTCACTCACTCGTCCTGGGCTTTGATTACTATCTCTATACTGCAGATATTCAACTCTTTACCTCAACTAAAATGTCTATCTTGGGATCCATCTTTGAAACATGCCCTTAGACATCTAAAATTCATAGGTTTTTGTTTTAGTTTTTTGGCACCTTGGCCAGTACAGAGATCCGAACCCTTGACCTTGGTGTTACAACACCACACTCTAACCAACTGAGCCAGCAGGCCAGCATTAGACATCTAAAATTCAAATTGTTTTAAACTTAATTCATTAAAACTCCCTACCTCGGGTGGAAACTGACTGCAAAAGGGCATGAGGGAATTTTCTGGGGTGATGGCAATGTTCTATATCTTAATAGAAATTTGGGTTACACAGGTACACGCATTTGTCAAAACCCAGGGGACATGTGCTTAAGATTTATGGGGAAGTGCATAATGTCTACATTATACTTTGAAATTCGTCCAAAAAGATAAATAGATTGAGCAATAGTTAGAAGGATGGCTAGAAGGATGACTAGAGAGTAGACACGTGATGAAGCAAGGATAGGGAAAAATGTTACAGGTAAAATCTAGATGGTGGGTATATGGGTGTTCACTGTAAAATGCTATCAACATGGCTGCGCATTTGCTATTTTTCCCAATAACATGTTGGGGGAAAATCCATCCCTTTCATCCCAAATGTGGGAATGAGGAGCACATCTGCTATCCCCCGAGGTCTCTCATCTCAGGAGCATCCCTGCCATCCAACAAGTTGTGTAGGGCAGGGAATCTGGGCACCATCCTGACTTCTGCTTTTCCGCTCCCTAGAGCCAAATCATCAGGGTCTGCCCTTCCTTCCTCATCTCTCCATGATGGATCCTTCTCTCCATCACAGCTGCCAGTCCCCATCATCTCTCACATGGAATAACTCAGTCTCCCAACTAGTCTTCTTAATCTCCTAACTAGCCTTCTTCAGGGATGCTGTTCTCCAATCTGCTTTTCACACATCAGTCAGAATGATTTTTCTAAACCCCCAATTTGATGTTCTCTTCTGCTTAAAATCCTGTAAGAGCAACTCACCGGCTTTGGGATAAAGTCCAAATTCTTTAAAGGACCCTTTAACACCTGCCCATTTCCCCTAACCATACGTTCCTCCCCAGTCACACTCCTCACCCCCTCCCCAGCCCACCCCCACACACCCCCACCACCACCACTCTAACTCTAAAGCTCCAGCTATTCTGAAATACCTGCCACTGTCTGCATATGTCATCTTCCTTTCCTTTGGTTAGAGAGGAAAGGGCCCTCCGGCCACTTCACATGCTCCCCTTATCTGGAGCACTTCTCCCCTTATCCCCTGGCTAATGTATTCAGTTAGAAGGAGAAGTTACTTCTTCCAGTAGCTTCCTTTCACCCTCCCCATATATATTCAAGACTTCATGTCTACCAATTTACACGCATGCACGCTATGCTTTCTCCTAGTATAGCACCATATTGTACTTGCCTGTTCACTTGCATTTCTCCCTTCTAAGCTAATGTTCCTGAGTGGGAGGATTATTTTTCGTGGCCTACTATATTCCAACACCAGCTCAGTGACTGGCATACAGAGGACATGCAACAAATCTTTACTGGACCAATTTACCGCTTAATCACATAGGCTTTCATTCCTATGGGAAACCAAGTCTGTATTTCACAAAATGGGAAAATGAAAATAAAGATTAAGTGATGTTACTTACTAGAAAACCTCTTTCTTCAACACTTGAATTCACTTGACACTTTATTTTTAAATAAATATGACCTTCCAAAGGGGATAAAAAGGGCACCTGCAAAGTAAGAGCATAAATTATTTGTGAAACAATTTCAAAGTGTGATCATTCTTGATAAAATATGTATAAATCATGAACAGAGAATATTACAAGTTGAAAACACAACACTTTCTAAAACTGGAATGCAAAAGATGTGGTCAAAAAGCCACCAGTTCTATAGCAACGAATGCTTTTTAAGAATAAATAAATTCAAAATAGAGCTTGACAAAAACAAAAGCCCTAAGACCCAAGTTAATATGAGAAAGAAAACACAGATTTAGGAAGAGGATAGATAAGAGGGGTCTTCAAATAGTTCATGGAAGGATTCATATTATCTTTTAATTCCATTTTCCACCTTTTTGAAGTAGACTCATATGTTTATCTATTCTCCATCAGCAGAAGAATGTACTCAGTAGGAAACGGAATAAACCAACTGATAAATTCATACAACATAATATCACTCAGCAATAAAGAACAATAAACTGCAGAAATGGAAAGGCCAATCCTCAAATTCATAAGTAATTTCAAGAGGCTCCGAATAACCAAAATAATCTTGAAAAAGAACCAAGTTGGAGGAATTGTAATTCCCAATTTCAAAACTTAATTCAAAGATTTAGTAATCAAAATAGTGTAGTACTGGCATAAAGACAGATATATAGACAAAAGGAATAAAATTGAGAGTCCAGAAATAAACCCATATGTGTATGGCCAATTCATTTTTGATAAGGGTGCCAAGACCACTCAAAGGGAAAAAGCAGTCTTTTCAACAAACGGTGCTGAAAAAACTGGATATCCATGTGCAAAAGAGTGAAGTTGGACCTCTACCTCATTCCATACACAAAAATTAAATGGACAATGATCTAAACAAGAGCTAAAACCATAAAACTCTTAGAAGAAAACATAGGGTAAAGCTTCATTGGATTTGACAATGGATTCTCAGATATGATACCAAAAGCGCAAGCAACACAAGGGAAAAAACTGATAAACCAGACATCATCAAAATTAAAAACTTTTTATTATGAAGGTCCCTCAAAAAGAAATCCCACCTCTAGGTATTTATACAAGAGAATTGAAATCAGGTTCTCAAAGTGATATTTGTAACCATGTTCATTGCAGCATTATTCCTAATAGCTAAGAGGTTGAAACAACCTGAATGTCTACTGACAGATGAACAGACCAAGAAAACATAGTACAAAAATACAATGAAATATTATTTAGCCCTAAAAACAGAAGGAAATCCTGTCATATGCTACAACATGGATGAACCTTGAAGACATTATGTTAAGTGAAATAAGCCAGCCACAGAAGCATAAATACTGCATGATTCCACCTATATAAAGTATCTAAAGTAGCCAAACTCATATTAGCAGAAAGTAGAATAGTGATTGCCAGGGGGGAGTTGCTGTTCCATGAGTATAGAATTTCAATCATGCAAAATGAAAAAATTCTAGAGATCTTCTGTAGTACATTGGGCTTATAGTTAACAATTATTATACTGTTAACTGTATTATACACTTAAAAATTTGTTAAGAGGGTAAATTTCATGAATTATTTACCACAATAAAAAAAATTACAAACTTTTGTACAACAAAGCACATTATCAAGAAAGTGAAAAGGCAATCTACAGAGTGGGAGAAAATATCTGCAAATCCCATATCTAGTATGGAATGGTATCCAGAAAATACAAAGAACTCTTACAACTCAACAACAAAAAGACAATCCAATTAAAATAACTCAACCAACAAACCCAATTAAAAATTTTGGCAAAGGACCTCTCCTCAAAGAAGATATATATTTTGCATCTTCCAACAAGCACATAAAAAGACACACAACATCAGTAGTTATTATGGAAATGCAAATTAAACCCACAATGAGGCACCACTTTACATCCACTAAGATAGTTGTCATAAGCAAACAAACAAAAAAACAAACAACAGAGAATAACAAGCGTTGGCAAGGATGCGAAGAAATGGAAGCCCACATTACTGGTAGGACATCAAATGGTGTAGATGCTATGAAAAAGAGTTTGATGGTTCCTAAAAATGTTAAACAAAATTATCTTATGACCCCACAATTCCACCCAAAAGAACTAAAAACAGATATTCCAACAAGAACATGTAAACACATGCTCATACCAGCACCATTGACAATAAGCCAGAAGGTGAAACAACTCAAATATCCACCAACAGATGAATGGATAAGCAAAATGCAGTATATACATATAATGAAATATTATTCAGTCATAAAAAGGAATGAAGTACCAATACATGCCACATCATGGATGTACCTCCGAATCATTGTGCTAGGTGAAAGAAGGCAGATACAAAATGTCACATATTGTATGATTCCGCTTATGTGAAATAGCCACAATAGCTACATCCATAGAAACATAATGCAGACTGGTGGCCGCCAGGGGTTGTGGGGAGGGAGAGACGGGCAAACTGCTAATGACTAAGGGGCTTTACTTTTGGAGACATGGAAATGTTTTGGAACTAGACAGAGGTGGTGGTTACAAAACATTGTGAATGTGTTTGTTCTTGAAATTAATTTAAATGGAATCATAGAACGTGTACTTTTTTGAGTCTAACTTCTTTTGCTCAGCATGATGTTTTTGAGATTTATTCATGTTGTACGTATTAGAAATTCATTGTTTTTTAAAAAAATTATTCTGATAAAATTCATACAAAAAAGTAATGCTTTTAAAGTGAACAATTCAGTGGTACTTAGCACCATTTCTATTGTAACAATAAGAAAATACTAAATAAACTAAAAAAAAAATCTTATTTTCCTTTAAGTCATTGAAGAGCTATAGAAGCAAAAAGACCAAATAGACCAAATTCTAGTAAGAAATGTGCCTTCCTAGGTGAGCCAAATCAGGGGCCACTTTGTTGCCTGGAAGAAGAACCAGTAGAAGAGCAAGCTTGCCATAGCCAATTTGCAGGAAAAAGTAGAAACCAGATGCACCTTAATGGCTGAGCCTGGCTGTCCAGGACCAAAAACAGTCAAAGCCCAGTCTCGGCTCAACTTCTGATTATATCAAAAATCCCTAATCCAAACTGTCTGAGAGACAATAGAGCAATTTATTATTCACTCCATTCTCTACTGCTCTTTTATATCATAATATCTTACCTACAATTAAAAAAAAAATTACAAGATGTGAAAAAGCTATAAAATGTGGCCTTTATCAAGGGAAAGGAAAACCATCAATAGCAGTTCCACAGATGATCTAAATGTTGGAATCAGAAGACAAGGATATTCATGTTAAAAAGTGTAGAGAAAAAGCTGGACAAAAGTAGGTGAGAAGATAAAGAATTTCAACAGAGAAATGGTAGCTGTAAAAAGAAATCCAATGGAAATTTTAGAATGACAAAAAAAATCTGGATTGAAAAATTCATTGGATGGGCTCAGGAGGCTGGGACCCATCAGGAAAAAAAATAAGTGGAACTCACAGACCAGAAATAGAAATGATCTAAAATGAAGCAATAAAGAAAAAAAGAATAAAAACAAAAAAGTATCACAGACTTGTAGGAAAATAGCCAACAGTGTAACATACATTTAACTGGAGTTCAAGAAAGAAGAGAGAAACAGGAAAGAAGAAATATTTGAATAACAGCTAAAAATTTGCAAAAACTTACAGAACACACTAACTACAGATCCATAAAGCTCAGTGAAACCCAGCTGGATAAATACAAAGAAAACCACACCTATGCACATTAGAATCAAACTGTTAAAAATCAAAAACAAAAAATCTTGAAAGCAGAAAAGGTAAGAATGATGGCTAACTTCTTATCAGAGCTGAAGCCACAAAACAATACATAACATCTTTAGAAAGGTGAAAAGAAAAAACCCCTGCCAACCTAGCAGTCTATATCCAGTGAGAATATCCTCCAGAAATTAAGGCAATATTAAAACATTTTGGACAAACAAAAACTAGAGATTTCATTTCCAGCAGAACTATATTATAGGAAATAAAAAGAAGTTCTTCCCGAGAGGGTGATGATCCCAGATGAAAGCCTGGATCTACAGGAAGGAATGAAGAACATCACAAATGGTAAATATAAAAAACAATTTTAAAAAACATATTTTATCCCTCTTATTGGAGAATAAAATATAAATATATATTTTTAAATTTTTTAAAAAATTTGATTAAAGAAAAAATAACTATAGTGCGTTATACAGTGTATAAAAAAGTAGTAAAATACAATGGGATGAGCAAATAGAACTATACGTTGGGAGGTTCTAAGTATTGTAAGGTACATGAAGTGGTGTAACAATATATCGGTAGACTTTAATAGGTTACAGATGCATATTATAATTCTTAGCAACTGCTAAAAACCAGAATTACAGGAAAATACAGTAGTCCTCCCTTATCTTCAGGGGATGTGTTCCATGACCCAGTGGATACGTGAAACTGTGGATAGTACTAAACCCTATATATACTACGTTTTTTTCCTGTGCATACATACCAATGATAGTTTCATTTGTAAATTAGCCACAGTAACATATTAACACCAATAACTAATAATGAAATAGAACAACTATAAAAGTTACGTGAATGTGGTCTCTCTTCTCTCTCTCTCAAAATATCTTTTATTCCACCCACAAATTTAATGCTTTTTCCATCTTAGCTAAGCACTTATTATCATTCACTGTGGTTGCAACTTTTGCAGTTTGAGGTGCAACAGCAAAACTAGCACGAATTTCTTTTTCCTTCTTCACAATTTCACAAAGAAAAGATTCACTCTTACCACAGATTTTAGCAACCTCAGCATACAACTTTTTTCTCTTTCCCTATTAAGTCGAGAACTTTCATCTCTTTCCTTCAATGAAGCACTTTCCAGCTTCTGTTTAGAATATCCAAATAGCCAGCATCAGTACTCCTGTGCTTTTGAGGCCATTATTAAATAAAATAAGGGTGCCTTGAACACAGCACTGCAATACTGCAAGTCAATCTGATAACCTAGACTAAGTGACTAATGGGCAGGTAGCATATACAGCATGGATGAATTGGACAAAGG